ATTTGATCAGGTGGTCACTTCTTTTGGCTTTAAGGAAAATGCCTCAGATCAGTGCATTTACTTGAAGACTAGTGGGAGCCATTTCATCATTCTTGTCTTATATGTTGATGATATTCTTCTTGCTAGTAGTAGTGTTGAACTTTTGACTGAGACAAAATTTATGTTAAATAGCCACTTTGATATGAAGGACCTTGGTGATGCCTCTGTTGTTATAGGCATTCAAATTTTCCGTGATAGGTTACATGGCATGCTTGGGTTGTCTCAAAGAGGGTATATTGATAAAATCCTCAAACGGTTCAACATGCATTCTTGCTCCCCATGTGCTGCACCTGTTCAAAAAGGTGACAAACTCTCTAAATCTCAATGTCCTCAAAATGATAATGATATAGTTGAAATGGAAAAGGTCCCATATGCTTCCGATGTTGGTAGTTTGATGTATGCTCAAGTTTGTACTCGTCCCGATATTGCTTTTGTTGTTAATGCTTTAGGGAGATACTTGAGTGACCCGGGTTTGGGTCATTGGAAAGCCGTTAAAAAGGTCTTTCGATATTTGCAGGGAACTAAGGATCATATGTTGACCTATAAGAAGTCTGATCAACTTCAGGTCATTGGTTATTCTGATTCTGATTTTGCTGGTTGCCCTAACGATCGAAAATCTACTTCTGGCTTTGTTTTTATGATGGTAGGAGGAGCTATTTCTTGGAAGAGTGTTAAACAGACTCTTACAGCTGCTTCTACCATGGAAGCAGAGTATGTCGCTTGTTATGAGGCTACTTGTCAAGCTGTGTGGCTTAAAAATTTGATTTCTGGCTTTCATGTTGTTGAAAGTATTTCTAGGCCACTTGTGATATATTGCGACAATACTGCTGCTGTGCATTTCTCTCAAAACAATAGAAGTTCTACTCGCTCAAAGCATTTTGATATAAAATTTCTATTTGTTAGAGAGAAAGTTTTGGATTCTCAGACTCGAATTGAGTATATTGCTACAGAAAATATGTTAGCAGATCCAATGACTAAAGGCTTAGCTATTGGAATTTTTCAAAATCATGTAACTCATATGGGTGTGGTTAAGTTTTTTGATGTATTGGATTAGTGGGAGTCTGAAATTTACATTTTATTATTATGGTTTTCATGAGATGTAAATTTATCAATGACATCGTTTTCATTACATCTCTTTTAGCATATAAAATTGCTTGGACCATTTTTGGGATCACATATTTTATTATGTTTCTCATTATCCATTATTTATGAAATATAAGCATAAGGTATGTATCCCTATCGGAAACTATCTTTGTGATTCATGTTTATATTTCTTATATTGTTAATTGATATATGTGCTTGTGTAGTAATTGGTATATTTAATTTATTGATTAATGTTATCCAAGTGGGAGAATGTTATATTTATTTATATAATTATTCTCTATTTTTATTATTATTATTATGGATTAACATTAATTAATAAATTATATTTATATATTAATATCAATTATATTGCATACTATTGTCAATTTATGGATAATGCTTATTGGGCTTTTGATAAATAGTCTGTGATGGGTTGGACTATTAAGTAGCCCGTTGAGAGGTCCCTGGTCTCTACTGGTAAGGATAAAGAACTGATATCCCATTAGTCAGTTCATAAGAAGAAATACATTTTGTCTTCTATTTTTCTACCTCCTATCAGGAAGAGAGCAGTCTTCTCTCACGTTGTTCAAGATCGATAACAGTCTTCTCTCACGTTGCTCAATATCGATAAGAATGGATCTCTCGTTGATTCCGGGTACGCAATTCTTTCTAAATCCTACTCGTACATACTATAATATTGTATCTTATGTTATTCATTGTTTGATGATGACTATAATTTTTTAACAAGCCATTCAGCCCCTTCAAAGCTGCCCGAGAAAGTTAGAACATGAGAAAATGGCAGCATGCTCCATGCCTATAATAAACTAAAAGAGGAAAAATATTGAAATTTTCTACATTTGGTATATATTTTTTAAAATTAATTCTATATTCTCATACTTCTCTTATACTTTCTTTTACATCTCATTTCTTTTTTCATCACATATCTCAATTGCATTTTTTTTATATAGATCACATGGATCTTTCATTGTAGATAATTTTGTTTGAGTCAAGAAGGATTATGACAATAAAATTTTCTAAGTATTTAATACAATTGTATATTTAAGATTCAAATTTGTATATTTCATTCACATCTCTATCTTATTTAATAGGTTACTAAAAATAATTTAACTCTTTTTAGTGTTGTGGAATATATACGTGTTTCATGTTCGTTTAAGTAGAAGAAACTAAAATGTATATAAATTGGGATTTGAGAGTACTCCAATCTTTAGTTTAGACTTTTTGATTAGTCCAATTTTTTTTAGATCACATGAAACCTCAAATTTAAACACTAACTAATTCAACAACATTCTTTTATTGGATTTGCACTTCAGGCATCAGATATCTATTCAACTAAAAAATTAAAAAGAATCAAGTCTTTAAAACCTGAGAAACACTATCTCAAACGATCACAATTGGATAATTTAACTAAATATTCACTTTTGCATGTAAAGAGATTAATTACTTGTAAGATTGATTTAATTATGTCATGAAATACTGAACAATTTACTGCTTCCTGATCAACCATATGTGCAAATTTTTTATTCAAATGAAATATCGAGATAAAAGTAATAATAATAATAATAATTAAACAAGAATATATGAACTTTTAGATTGTGGTGGGATCAATATTAAATATGAATTATTAAAAATTGGGGTGGAGCAGAGGGTATTAAGGAGACATATATCTCTCGTTCCACACCATCTCCACCAAATTACATAATTTTGTTTTTTCAATTAAGAAATTTTACTAAAAAATGACAATAATTTTATTTTAATTTTTTTAATCATTATACAATTTAAAAAAAATAATTTAATTTTATCCAATATTATTTAATAGTTTTTATTGTTAAAATTTTAATAATAGAAATTGACTGATATATATATATATATAGAAGAATATATTTAATTTTTTTTTGTGTTACACTTATGTTTAATTGATTGATATAAAGGTATTTTTTAAAACAATCTTGTTTGAGTTAGTAGAATCATTATATACAACAAATTTTTTTTTCTTCAAATATTTAAAGTAGTTAAATACTCAAGATTTAAATTCAAAAATACTGATTAAATTAGAATAATTTCTTATTAATTGATCTATATGCTCTTATCAGTATAATTTATAAATTTTATTTTTTATTTTTTTATTTAAAAATATTTCATTTTAATATTTATACATATTATCTTGTTATATGGATTAAAAGATAAAATTTATGAAATTATAAATTAAAAAGAAAAAAATTATATGTATAAAAATTAAAAATATTTATCCAAAAAAAATGTTTTGATTCAATAAATTTTATAATATATGTATATGTGTCTTTATATACATGTACATCCATGAGTCTACTTGTGTGTGTCCATGTATAGTAATTATTTATAATTGAAAAAAAAGTGATAAATGAAAAAGGAAAGGAAACATTATAGGGTGGGTAGATGTGCATATGCCACACTTCCACCCGTATTGCATAGAAATAGCCAGCAAAGACTATTTTATACACGTGTCAACCTCATACGTGATGTAACTTCAACAAATTTATAACAAAATAAAATCCTATCAATATTGTAGGTATTTTTAGCTAAAATTTATATTTCATTTCAATAATTATCATTAAAAATTGCTAATATAGTATAATTTTTTTTTATAATAACACAGTATTTAACTAAAGAAAAACAGAGGAAAAGAGTTTTAATAATTTTTTCTTATTTAATCTGATGCTTGAAAAAAGGAGAGTGAAATGGATAAAAAAAAATTTCATCTAAATTTAATTCAACTTCAATACTAGAAAAAAATTAACTTTAAAATATTTTTTTACCTTTATTTCAATTACAAAAAAAAATTAAATTATGATAATACATGATTTAGTGTAAAATTAAAGTCAATTACTTATTTCTTTTAAGATTTTCAATGAAATTATGACATTTTATCTCTCATATTTCTAATTAATAAGATGGAAAAGACTTAACAAATTGTATCATTTATGTAGAATTATATTTTTGATGTAATGTCTAAAAATCTTTATCTATATTTTTAAATTCAAAATTATAAATGTATAAAGATGAATTAGTTTTTAAAAATTTTCTCCTTCACTTTGTAAATCAAACAGAAATAAAGTTATGTTTCCCTTCTTTCTAACCAAACCAAAATGATAAATCATTCCCTCTCATCTACTCTTTTAATATTTAGAGATCCCAAGTGATAATGTCAAAATCTGAAAATAAAATTTTATACATATTACTTTAATTCTATATCACAAGAGTGTGAATCACTTGAGATTGAAACATATATTTTCTATTGAATATGATTTTAAATTAATATTTTATACACAATACATTGATCAAGTAGTTTAGAAATATAATTCAATTATCCATTCTTTTTATAAATTTTTACTAAAATCAAATTATCCATTCTTTTATAAATTTTTAGAACACTCTGCAGTTAAGTATGTAACTGTCTCATCTATGAGGCACCGAAATGACCGATTATTGAAAGAATAAAAATAATAAAAAAATTGAAATCAGCTTCCACTTTTCCTCTTCTTACTGTGTCTGCTCTTCTTTATCTTCAGATCATCATGGCTGATGGTGGTAAGAAATCCTCATATTATGAGTTTGAAAACAAAAGAAAACAAGTGAAAAAATCACTGTAATTAAACTTTTTAGTATTATATTTAACGACAAAAAGAAGTGTTTCATGGATACACCGCATAGAATTTTTAATATTTTTATATATAAATGAAAAAAAATTTATTACAAAGAGTGGCGTTTATTGGTTGCGACTTTACTTTGAAAAGAGAAATTCAACGAACAAGTTACAACTACACATAGACATAGTAGGGACCCACCATGAAAGATAAAATGAAAAATGGGGAAGGGTGCATGCATCTTTCCCGTTTCCCATCTCTTGCTTCTGTTTCAAAACAACCAGAGATTTCTCCGAATGAAACAGACAATAATTAAATCAATTAAAAATAAATTCATGTCATTAAATTATATTTCTAGAAAGAGAAGAAGATATTGTGGGCTTTGTGAAGCAATATTATGATTTTTATTTTTCCTAAGTGCTTTCTTCCCAAAATAAATCACACCACACTGCAATGACTCCCAACAACTTCTCTTCATTTCTTCATCAAAGTGTCCTGTGCCTTTATATGTTCTGTGCCAATTTATTGCGTCTTTTCTTCTTCAGGTAATGACCCATGATACTCCTCAATTATATCTAGACATTGATACGTCTTGATTTTTCTGACATGTTATTCAAATCGAAGAACTGTGTTGTAAATGTTTGTGTGTGTGTGTGTGTTTTTTTTTTCTTCCTCCAATGTGGGTATTCATGTCTATATAATGGGGACATTAGAATACTAGTCCTTCAACTAAAAAAGTCTTTTTTTTTTTTTTCTTTTCTGTTTTCGTTCATCTTTTTGCTGAAGTTATGTTTGGGGGCTAGAGTTATGCATGTTAAAAGATTCCGCGAACAAGTAGTGTGTAATTAATTGTATATTTTTTCCATGGTCTTTTCTGTTTGTGTTGAAATTGACTTTCTGATTGAATTTGTGATTTTACATACATTAGACACAGTTGTTTTATGTTTTGCATTTCCATATTTGGTGGGAGGGGGCATCCAGTCTTTCCAAATTTTTGTGTGGTGTCGTGCTGTTCTTAAGAGGCTAATTTTTCAGCATTTAGTAGAGTTCTTCACAAATTAAATAACTCCCAACATTGTTTATTGTAACATACTAGCATCTTTTCATCTAAAAGCAATTGACAATGTGGTGATATCTTATAATGTTGTAATTATATCTTATTGTAGACCGTGAGTAGACAAATGAGTAGATAAATAGGTTGGTGAAATGGATGGAGTTGAAGTGGTTGAAACTACATCAACCACTGTGAGTTGTATGATGAGGCGGCATAAATAATGTGGTACTCTTAGGGAGTCCCATGTGTTTGTGGCAAAGTAGCCAAAATTTCTTCATTGTTTTCCTTTTGAATTCTGACTATTGTGATTGTTTGGAGAAGGGAGGGGGTTAGCATGTGATGTGAGATGTAGACAGTTTCAAAACTTTCTCAGTCAGAATTTTTTAATTTTCAATGTTACATTATTTTTTGGTGAATTATAAAGGAGAAAATGAACTAAACACCTTTTTGAAAAGAGTTCCGATAGATTTCAATGTCACATTTGATTGTTAGATTTGATACCTTAAACATTTGGATTGTGCAAGGATAGATTTGATTGATGTTTGTGCTATGAGCTTATTATATCTGATGTTGCCTTATTTCATATGCTACAGGTCCTAAAACATATTTGTGATTTACTTTGAGATTTGTTCAGTAATTAGTCATACACCTAATTCTAAATTAGGTATTTCTGTCATCGTTGAATTAATTTTATCAAATGGATGAAGGAATCAGTGTCTCACTTGATCTTTTCACTGTGTAAAGTTGGGATGTCTGGTGGAGTAGTTTGATACTGTGATGCATTTTTATAGAAATTTAAATAAAATTGTATGCTGTATTGTAGAATTTTACTATGGAGTTGAAGGAAAGTAATGACATCGAGCATTCATCTTTCACGCCACAAATACAGCATGACCTTTGGCCTCTAGATCCAGTTGATCCAAATACGGCAAAGTTTCCATGTTGTTTGGTTTGGAATCCACTTCCCGTGGTCTCATGGTTGGCTCCCTTCATCGGTCATGTTGGCATTTGTAGGGAAGATGGAGTTGTTTTGGATTTTTCAGGATCATATACTGTGAATGTTGATGATTTTGCATTTGGTTCAGTGGCAAAATACGTGCAACTTGATCGTAAACAGGTACTGTTTCTCAAATTTATTTTCTCAATCTCTGGTTGCCTTCTTTCTGTTCATATTGTTCTCTTTTGTGCAAGCATAGAAAGTCATGAATACTTTCATCCTTTACAAATTTGAAAAATAGTTTTATGCCAAATTAATTTATTTTTTTTTGCTCGTTCTAGAACTTTGGGAGACTATAAAACTTTTATGGCCGATGTAATTATGTTTAAAACTATTAGGTCAAACATTGATGTATTAGGAAAACAAGAGCATGCAAAATGGATTGCATTTGCAGCTAGATGGCTCTCTGAAGTCCAAACCTACAAGAAGTATTGCATTTGAATCTTTAGAGGTTTTACCTTGAGATATATAAATCCTTTCGTCTTAAAATAAGAAATTCCTTATTTTTTACTCTTCCATATATCTAATTGACTCTGAGTTTTTGTTATTTTATCCTTTTCCCCTCTCTTATATGGCATCACAGTCTCACTTATATTGGAAATTGTCATTTCTAAGTAGATAGATATCTTAAGATACTAATTCAAATCAGCACATTAAGTTTGCAATTGATTTTTGCACAGCCCAGTTAAGTTATATGATACTTCCCATTGTTTGTAATTCCAGCTGCTAGAATTTAGATAATGGGGGCATGCATGCTAAATTTGAATAACGCTGATTTTTATTGTGATGTGATCCTATATAAGACCATTGTTTAATATGGTGATTCTACACTGATTTTGGAAAAGTAATTCAGTGTTTTAGTTATAAATATATTGACATATTTATTTATAGAATAATCTAGTTGCTAAGCTCTCCCCTTTCCTCTATCCCTTAAAATTTTGTTTGGTGTCAATTTTAGTTGTTTAAAAGAGTAAACTCTTATTTGACATTCTGTGTAACTTGAAATGTTGCAGTGTTGTTTACCTCCTAACCCATCTGCACATACATGCAAGCAAGGTTACCGCCATTCTGAGTATGGTACTGCAATCACATGGGATGACGCAATACAGTCAAGTGTGCGTGAATATGAGAGCAAAACCCACAACACTTTCACTTGCAACTGTCACTCATTTGTTGCTAATTGTCTGAATCGGATGAGTTATGGTGGATCAATGAAGTGGAACATGGTTAATGTAGGAGCTATGTTACTATTCAAGGGGCATTGGGTTGGCATCAGGGCAATTATAAGGGCTTTTCTGCCTTTTGTTGTGGTTTCTTGCTTTGGTGTATTCGCTGTTGGGTGGCCCTTCTTACTTGGGCTATTATCTTTTTCTCTACTCTTACTGTTGTGGTTTCTATTGGGAACTTACTTTTTAAAAAACATGCTTGAGTGCTAGATAGTCTCTTGAAGTGAAAGATGGTCATAGTTTAGTTTGTGTTTCTCCTTACCTAATAATATGTTTAGATGGTTATAGGTTAAGTTTGTGTCCCTCTTAACCTAATAACATGCTTAAATGCTGTTATTGGAAGTGAAAGATGGCCATAATTTATGTTTCTCTTTAGTCTTTACCAAAAAAACATGCTTAAATGCTGTTATTGGAGTAAGACATGTAATGCTTCTGAAAGTGTATTTGGTGTTCATGAGACTATGTATTATGCAATGGTATTGCCTAGTTAGTGAAGCGGCACCACAACGTAAATCTCACACGGAAACTGTTCTAAGTTGAAGATTTTCTGTGTTTCTTTCAATCACTGGGATGAAAAGATGGGCAAGAGTTTTATAAAAAAGAGTAAATGATGGAGTCTTGATTTGATGCCAACTCCATGGAACCTTCATACGCTTCTCCTTGGATGACCTTGAAGAATTGTTCAAGGGAAGAATCAGGCCAAGTTGAGGCTCGAATGAAGAACAAGGAGAACTAAGCTCCTTGAGTAGAAGAAGAGAAAGATCTAGAACTACTAAGAGGATAGCTCAAGGTGAATTGGAGAGAACACTCTCCTATGGTGACTTCGGGTCTAGAGAGAAAAGGATTCTTAAGAAGAAGAATTTTCTCATTCAATTGCCAAAGTGTCAAATTACACGTTCAAAGAAAATATATAGGTTAAGGAAGTGTGCCAGGAAAGTTTGGTTAACCTAAGGTTTAATTAAACCATAGTTTAATTAAACCTTAGTACCAAAATTTGAATGTTTAAATTCAAATTTTGGTGCTAAACCAGTCACCTCCCATGTGCTACTCAATTTGAATGTTATTTAGCATGTATTTGAGAGTGAATTTCGGTCACTCCATGTCCACGAGTGTACATGGGCGAAATGCTTTCTAAATGTGATACTAATAACATTTAAATTGAGATGCACATGAAACTCCTTTTAAACCTAAATTTAAATTACAATGAAATGAAATTCCTAGATTACTTGACCAAAATACAAGGCCCAAAACAAAAATACAAGCTCATTGAGCCCAAACCTAATCTACATGGACTTTAGAGTAGAGTCCAACTAAAAAGAATTATGGGCTTTTCTTTCACACCGGCCCAATCTTCAGTAAATATTGCCATGGCCCTAATAGTTGGGCCTTTGGTCCATGAGCCTCCATCAGTAAATATTGTCAAAATTTGCACTAATTAAAGATTTGAAAGTATCGGTCATACAATGTTGGGAAATCCAACACTATTAAGGTAAGAATTTATCTAATGATGATTTGAAATGATTTTTTTTTATTTAACTCTAAATTTTAATAAAGTTGTTTATTGATATAATATGTTAACCTTAATTAATATATATATTAATAAATGATATAGAATTATTTAAGTTTAATTAATAATTTTAGATTCCAGCTTTGAGTAAGTAGTTGTGTTAAGTATTTAAAAGGAAAAGTTTTGCAACTTACATTGGTTATACTTGTTCAAATAAGATTGTCTTTGGTGAAGATACTCCATCTATTTCAGATAAAAAAAATATTTTATATATGAATTTTTTTATAAATATATCAATTGTTTAAATTAAACCAATAATTCGCGTTTTGATTAAGTATTTATTTTAAAGGCTTAAAGAAAATTTTTACAGCTTATAGTGGATATACTTACTCAAACATGACTTTTGTTCTATTTTAGATTAAAAAACGTTTTATATATAGAATTTTTTATAATAGACATCTGCACGATTCCTAACTTTTATAAGAAAAACGGGATTTTTTAATCTAAAATGCGATGGGAACTTAAATAAAAACAATTTCTTTTATAATGTCATCTTATATAATATATAAAAATTAGTCTCGATAACTATTAAATTTCATTTCTATAGAAAATATTGAAGAAATATTTATGTTATTGAGACATGATAAATAAATTAAATCACTATATATAAACTTTAACATATAATATTATTGCTAATATATAATATAACTAATACATTGCCACACAATGGCATGGCAATCGAAATCCTCGTGGATACCCGTTCGAATCTGTCCCGATTTGGACGGAGAAAATTTATGTTTATCGGGTTCGGGTTCGTGTTTTTCCCGATTGATAAAGTCGGAGACGGGGATGTTAATACCCGTCCCGTCCCCGCCCCGTCCCCGCTAC